CGCAGGAGAGGAAAAGTCTTAATGAGATGGATTGACTCTGTGATAGAGGTGGTGGGAATGAGTGTGTTGGAGATGGCTAGGTTGGCACAGGATAGAGCAGGGTTTAGGGCTCTTGTACATAGGGTCGCTATGAGTCACAAGCAACTTGACGGCACATAACAACAACAAAGTGTGGAGAACTCTGCAAAACTGACCTAGAAGGAAAGCCTCACAAAGTGGTTGGCATCAATTGTGTAGTTAAGGACTATGGCAAAGAATCTCAGGCCAAAGATCCCATCAGAGTATTTCAAATGCAAGAAATGAAAACAATAAAAAACTTAGCATATAAAAAAATCGCAAGTATTTGAGAAAAATGTAAAGACACTATAATTGTGATTTTAGGATAGGATAAAGCTTTCTTGAAACAAGAGATAAAAAGGGACAAACTGTAAATGAAGATTGATGACTCTGTCTTCATCAATACTGAAAATGTCTCTGTGACTAAACCTCAAAAATAATATGGATAAAATAGGGAAAGATGTAACAAAATACACTCCCTGTAATTTATGAAAGACTTCTACAAATCAAGTATGATAAGAGCACAGCACCTGGTAGAGCTAAGAATCGGATAACAGATAATTCCCAGAAGATAAAATATTAAAGGCCAGTGGACAAATGGGGGGGGGGGGGGGGGGGGGGGGGGGGGGGGGGGGGGGGGGGGGGGGGGGGGGGGGGGGGGGGGGGGGGGGGGGGGGGGGGGGGGGGGAGGAGCCTACCTAACACAATCAATAATCAGGGAAATTCAGACAGCACAAATTTATAATTATGATAATATTTCTTCAAGTACTGGTAATGTAGCATTAGTGAGAATGAGAGAAATAAGAACATTTTCATACACTGCAGAGAGTTGTTTTGCACTGTAGAATCAGAACTAACTAATAGCAGACCCTTCAGTGGTTTTCAGAGACAGTAAATCCCATGGGAGGAGACTGAACACTCTACTGGTGGGTTTGAACTGCATACCTTTGGGACTGCAGTTCAGTTTCTTATCACTAGGCCATCAGAGACAGCAATATAGTAGCTATTAAAATTTCAAATAATTATGATCCAGCCCTTTCATTTATTGCTTTATAACCTATGGAATTATTTGTACAAGTGACTCGATGGCACATAACAACAACAACAAAACTAGAAAGAAAGTTGTTCATTGTCTCAATGTTTTTAACAAGGGAAATAGGAAACAACTTAAATGTCCAATATTAGACAAATAAAATACTTGAGTCTCATTTTATTATTATATGTTGTTGTTGTTATGTGCCATCAAGTTGCTTGCAACTCATA